AATACCTAGAGGTGACTATTTAGTTTGTATAAAGGCAAAGAATGTGCTCAGGCCGGTTGTGGCTCCAAATTTCTATAAATAGGTGTCACGTTCAAGTCAGAGGGACTTGTTTTGAAGCTGCTTTACATAAAATTGATTAAACATCTATTATTCATTTCAGAGAATGGGGGAAGAAAAGACACCAACACCCCAGCCACTCCCTTGGCACCACCACTGACTCAAACTAAGGAAAGAGCAGTCAACAGGCTTCCCAGAGTCTAGGACGGGTCTGACCGTCGATGCTTACCAGAGCCGAAACGATGTAGTGGAAAGCGCTCTGGGGTCAAATCCTAGCTCTGCAGCTTACCAAGCTAAATGGCCCTGGGCTAATGGCTTAAATTCAAGGAGATCTAGCCAGTTTTGCAAATTTTTGTATTTGATGTAAATGATGTATTTGAATCCTTCTACCACTGTTTTTTTTCTCCCGTAACTTCGTAATTATGAAGTTCATGCCCGAGGACTGGGGGAGCCCCAGTGCATATTATATCCCATTACATCAAGATGCCATAACTTTTAAATCCATTTTTCAACTGATGGACCTTAGGTGGTTCCAAGTTTTTATTCTTACACATAATACTGCTATAAATATTCTTATGCCCACATGCAAAACATCACCTAGGGTATAGTCCAAGGAATGAAATTGCTGGATCATGGCCACTGCTGAGTTATAGGTAATTTGACTTTATTAGATATTGACAAGTTGTCATCCAGAGTGGTTTTATCGACTGAGACTTTCACTAGCTTTGTATGAGAGATGCTTCACATCTTTTCTAGCGTTCAAAAGTTCATTCAGGCCTGGCCGAGTGGCTCAGTTGGTTGAGTGTTGTCCCATGGAACAAAAGGCCACAGGCTTGACTCCCGGTCAGGGCACATGCCTGGGTTTCGAGCTTGATCACCAGTAGGAGGCATGCAGGAGGCAGCAGATTGATGTTTCTCTCTCATTGATGTTTCTCTCTCCCTTCTTCTCTCTCTGAAATCAACAAAAACATATAAAAAATGTTCACTCAACAAATATTTCTTAGTGACCTACTAATCTGCTCTAGGTACTGGGATACAGCAGTAAAAGTTCCTGCTCTCTTGCAGCTTCCATTTTCTTGGTAGGAGACATGATAACAAATAAATGTTATTCACACACTGTGTAAGTGAATACAATACCTTTTTTTTTTTTTTTTAATGCAATACCTTCTTGAGCTCAATGTGACCTAATTCTAGAAGCTGATTTTTTAAAATATGTAATTACTATAAAAATTAGAAGATAAATGTCTTACATTGGTGTAATATGTTAGTGTTTACAGTGTGTTTGGGAATCCATGTTCTCAGTTGACCACAATACCAGTCAACACATAAGGAAGTGGTTAAATGTTTCTCTCCCTGCAGTCGATCTGCCTGGGATCAAGTCTTGGTTTCCTGACTTACTACCATGTGACCTTGAACAAGTTACTGAACTTCTCTAAATCTCAATTTTTGTATCGGATAATAGTGCCTGACTCTTAGGGATGCTTATTGTGGTGCCCAGTAAATTTTTAGTACTTTTTGCTATTTTCTAGCAATCAATAATAATTGGGTGGGCCAATCATGTAATATTATTCCCATTTTATAGATGAGGAAACTAAGGTTCAGAGTGGTTGAACAAATTGCCAGTAAGTTCTAGTACCTCTTAAGCCAGTTCTTCTGACACCAGAGCCAATCCCCTACTACAACATTGTACTTATGAATGTATCGTGTGTTCGTTTAATAATTATTTCTTGAACATCTCAAGTGGCCAGTCACTATGCTTGGTGCCAGAGAATTCTGAAATAATCCCAATATGACTCATCATCTTTGGGCAACCCTGAAATCATAACTACCTTGTGGCTAGTCCTAGCACTTTGCTTCATCCAGCGTGGGCTGGTAATGAATTTTCAAGATTCTACTGAAGTTTTTATGGAGGCTAGAGATGAGCATTTATCACATTAGACTGGAACTCCTTGAAAGGCAAGGATCATGTTTTACTTAACAGTGTACAACTGGCACATAGCACAATGCCTGGCACATGCCAGTTGAATATTTGACAAATGAACAACATGTCATGCAGCTAAATCTACTTTATCTTCCTCAACAGCTTCTCACCTGTCCACATAACACCTTCCTAGCAGCTGCTCCAAAATTACTCATGGGATAGAGCTGCATTGCATTGTGAAGAATTCTACCTCTCTTGAACTTGATGGGATTCTCCCAGGTATCCCGGTTTTCCAGATACAAGTAGTTTCCATCTGAAACCAAGTGTAAGTGATGGCTGGGTTAGGAAAAAAATACGTAAATCAAAATATTGAATCAGGGGGCCAATAGTTGAGTAAACAATCACAACAACAAAATGTACTCATGGAAAGACAAGGAATGATCTAAGACAGTGCATGCTGAGCACCCTACGAAGAGAACTGGCAATAAACACTATTGGAGTTCAGAACAGTGAGAAAGAAAACAGGAGGATGGTAAGGTATCTGATTGAAAGGAATCTATTCTAGGTCTCTTTATAGACAAACTGAGGCATTGTGAGTTGTTTTTATTGTTATATCTCAGAGTTTCCTCTGCACAGCAGTAGCCTGTCAACTGCTTAAGGCTTTGGAGCCAGCCATCTTCATGGGCCCAGAGTCTGACAGTGCCCAGGAACAGCCCATCTGCAGTTTCTGTGTAGAATTTGGAGGTAGAGCCCAGGGTCCCAGGGCTCACATTTCCTCATTTTTGGCTCCCCCACGCTCAACTTAGGGGACTAAACTCCAGCTGAGAACAGGGACAACATTTTATCTTCACCTGTCCATCGCTGGTTGAAAGAAAAGGTATCCACTCTAAGTAACTCCTCGCTGATATAAACGTCACAATTTCTACTCCCTTTACTTCATAACCTTACTCTCAGCCTGTATCCCCATAATAAAAATAAATACCCCCTAGAATTTGGCAATGCTTCCTTTTCAAGATTACTACCTTGCTTCTGATCTAAATCCTATCTTGGAGATGGAGAATATTTTCTTAGATTTAGGCTTCTTTTTTTAGGTGCATAAATATTTCTTTAGAGTATGACTGTGGGACTAGAAAAATGGGATGTTTTGGTAAGAAAAATCAAGGTTCGTACCTGACAGCTGCCTTAGCACAAGGTAGTCCTATTTGGCTCTGTATGTTAAGCCCTTAAAAGGGAAAGGAAAAGGAAATTAAGAAGTGTACTCCTTACATCTTAGAGAGACATCACGGTATGTTTCATTTTCTACCAAGTCAAGCTCCTAGACCTCCCCTAATGACATTGGAGTTTGGCCATTCAAATGCATTTATTTCTTTCCAGCGACAACATGATCTTGGCAGAACATTGAGAACTGGTGGCCGAGAAAAGAAAATGCAGTCTTCCTGCTCGCAGAAGAGATTCTGAGACACCCTTGCTAACACAGCCCAGCCCAAAGGGCTGGTGTATGAATCAGCCATAAACGTCGCGTGGGCTGATGAGGGTTGCAGAGTTCATGAGAATTTCTGATGAAGCCGCACGCAAGAGTGCTTATCGGTTATTGTCTGTGTGGTGCAGTCTGTAATTTGCCTTGTTTGGGTCTTTTTGCTATTATGTGTTATGCTTCCCCGAAGCCTGACGCAAGCTCTCATTTTCCTTTGCTGTCAGAATTCCCCCGCTTCAAATGAGAACTCTGAGGCTTTGTGGCAAGAATGCTAAATATGCCTTCCAACTGCACAGACAGAAAGGGCTAAGAGATGGTTATGTTGTGTTAGCATCGGATTCCAGAAACATGATCCCAATTCTCCTAATTTCTTAATCACGGATGCTTTTGGCACTTGCCACAGTATAGTTGGATCCTCTCTGAAGTACTTAGGAACCAAACCAAATCAAGCAAACACAAGAAGAGCATGCAACGGTCAAGTAAAACATGTTTTCAGGCTTCCGGCATCCTTCCTTCCTAGGCCCAGTACTGCCTAGTTTTACCAGATTTAGCAAAGGAATACGTCTATACAGGCTCCTTTATTTTATCTGACAATCCTATTAAGGCCTTTAGTGGGTCCGTTTAATTCCCTGCCATCAGAGCCTATCTGGGGCCGGGGGAGGGGGCAGTGAAATTATTCATCAAAACTTAGAGCAATATTTCTTAAAGTTTGGTCTCAGATAATCTGCATTAGAATAACCCAGAGAACCCATGAAAAAGGCAGATTTCTGAGTCTCGACCTAGACTCACAGATTCAGAAATGCCAGGGATGGGCCTGGGAATATGTGTTTAAAAATCTCTGCAAATAATTCTGACAATTCTTTAATGACCTCGGTGTCTTTCCTCTCCCAGTAGTACATATTTAAAGCCTTTTTCTGCTTGTGGAAAGGAGATAATAGAAGTACAGTATCAGATATTTATGAGGGCCTTATTAAATATTTGTTTCCTTAATCCCTTCTTAAATGGACTCTGGGCTTCAAAAGAAAGTGAGAGGCTGCCTCTGATCGCCTCCATATGCATCTGACCATCTATGACTGACCCTTTGTAGGCTGCTGCTATTCCAGGCAGGCAGTCAGGAGAGTCTTTGGGCAGCGGCTCCAGCAGAAACATGTCCAGAGCTTCACCCAGTGGGACAAACAGAATGGATCTTCCATCAGTGTGCAGTGTGCCAAGAAGCCTGCAATTACCCCTTCTCTAAACCCCTGTACTTCTTTCCCCTCTGGATCAGAGTTAACTTAAATCTAAAAGTCAGCCACCAACATTAAGCAACGTTGCACGTTGAGAACCTTGGGCCACAGACCCTGGTAGAATCCTGCAGGTTTAGGATTGGGTTTAGAAAGACTACAGGCCCCAAAATGCAATTTCACCTTCCAAAGACTACCATTCCCAACATGCAATGCAGCCAAAGTTAGCAAAAGAAAAGACCTGCAAGCACGGTTGGAAATTTTTATATTTAGGTCACCTTAGGCAAAGAAATTATTTAAAAGGGCCTCAGGATAGTTTTTTTTGCAGGAGTGATCACTCCCTAAATCCAGGAAAGGAAGGGGAGGAGTCTGAGCCGTGTCACACCCCTTTCCCAGTAAACTTCTTTCTCTCCAAGTTTGGGGGCCGGAGTTCCAAGGTCCAGGAGTAGCAGCCGTACACCCTGAGCTTTCCCCATGGTTTCGGTGACCAGATCCGTGTTTGGAGAGCTGCCCTCGGGGGCAGGGACGGTGGAGAAGTTCCGGCTGCAGTCAGACCTGCTGAGCGTGGACATCCTCTCCTGGGGTTGCATCATCTCGGCCCTGGAGGTCAAAGACAGGCAGGGCCGAGCCTCGGATGTGGTTCTCGGCTTTGCCGAGTTGGCAGGTGGGTTAACTCTGCCCCGCGCACGGCCGGGCTTGGGCTCGAGCTTGGGCCCGTCAGGAACGCTTGGACCCGCTAACTCACGGGGTAGTGATCCTGTGCTTGGGAAAAATCAAAATGAATGGAAACAGCTATGGGACTTGGCCTCTGGCTATCCATTCAGGCTTTGCCTCAGTTGATTTTAAAAGGCAGTTGAGAGTAAGATAAAACTCCAGCAACCCTGGAGCGATCTTTGAACTGCCTGATCTTTGTGAGCGCAGCAGAGGAAAAGGCAGGCTGGAGGGGGTGTGGCTCCCCGTTTCTTCCCCGGGGCCCTTTCTCAAGAAGGGAAATCGGAGACGTGCTTCTTCAACTTCCTTTTTCCTTGATTAGATTCTCTCGGAGGCCTGGTTGTCTCAGAAATGCTCAGGGGACGCAGGCAGCTTGTGCACTTTGTTCTGAGCCGGGATAGCGCCCAGTGTGCCCTGGCTGCTCAATGCCCAGGTACAGACGAGCACAAACCTACTGATTGTCCAGAAGCCAGGTCTCCTTCTAACCAGGGTGGACTTGTATTCTGTTGGAATCCATGGGCCATTAAGATCACGCATCAGTACCTGCATTTAAACACTGTTAATCCAGTTGCCTCGTCCAGTGAGACAGTTGAGGTCCCCACCCGCACAGAGCTTGCAGTTTAGCTGGGGACATGGCCATTATCCAAGGAATGGCATAAATAAATCATTACAGTTGCAGTTTGATAGCAACAAAGGAGAGCATACATAGTGTTCTCTTGGCAGTGGGCGTGCAGCTAGACAGAAAATGGGGTCTGAGATAAAGTTGGCAAGGGGGTGCTGTTGAGAATTGACATCCTCTGCTCAGCGGTAGAGGTCTGGGCAAAATCTGCTTAGAGGGGAGGTTTGAGGTTTCCCTTTTGGTGTGTCTTTCTGTCTGTTTGGTTCTTTAGATATGCAGCATGGTTCTTGGTTGGAGGTCAACAGAAAACTCTTGAGAGTATTGGTTTTCCCCTAAGAGACTGAAATTTGCTTCCCATATCCTTAGCAAAATGTATTGTAAGCATATTCCTGAGGATCCTTTCCCTTGCCCTCCGGTTGTCTTAATCTGCCTTGGAGCTTCGCAGCTTGGCTTGGAGAGGGGTAGATAATCTTCAGCAGAATTTCTTTGGTAACTTCAACAAATCTATTATGGGAGACTCAAGGGTGGGAAGGTGCAGGGACATGGGGAAAATCAGCTCCATGTCCCTGTGAATTTCTGGGGGTAGAGGTTCACATCTGTCTTCAAAGTGAGAAGGCAAGAGAGTTGATAAGTGACAAAAGAGGATTCCTCATTTTGCTGCGTTACCTCTTGCTGTTAGTAGCATAACTATTTTCCAGGCTGAAACAGAGCCATAAAGAGTTTACTGGCCCGGCCGGGCGTGGCTCAGCCGTTGAGCGTCGTTGACCTAGGATCCAGGAGATCGGGGTTCGATTCCCGGTCAGGGCACATGCCCGGGTTGTGGGCTGCAGCTGATCAGTGACTCCCTCTCTCTTCCTCTCTCTGAAATCAATAAAGATATATTAAAAAAAAAAGTTTACTTGACTGGAGCAAAATTGTCCATGGAGTTGAAGAATTGGGTATTTGGCCAACAACTGCAGAACCAGTAAAGAACTGGAGATGATAAGCTGAGAGCACCAGCTTTTTATCATCTCACTTCCATCTCTGCCTTACCAGCATTCAGGAGGTAACCACCCTCCCTCTATACACAGACTCAACACACACACTCACTTCGTACCATTTTCAGTTCTGATGTGAGTCACTTGGACCTTAAGCACAAGGTGTCTCTGGAATTCATATGAAATGTGTCCTGATGACATGGCACCTGGGAAGTGCCAGGCATGGAAGTGGCGATTTTGCGAGGGCATTTATATAATTGTCTCTATGAGTCTATGACTCTTGTGAGATTCCTGTTGAAAGAAAATATTATCCCCTAATGTTCCTAAAAGAGAGGGGAAAACCCTGATCCCTTTAGATCCCCTGGCTTATATTGTATTGCCCTTCGTGTTATTAACATCTCTTGAGAAAGGTAGAGCATTTTCTTAACCAGAATGCATCACAGGCTTCACAGAAAGCATCGAGAGGGACATTTCCATTCCTATGCTGTCATTTAGATAATTTCTTTATGTTAAAAGGGAATCAAGCTGTTTTCAAAAGAGAAGTTGGACAAAAGCCCTGAGAATATCAAAGAAAACTTTCTAATATATTCAACCACCTTCGAGGTTATTGTTTCCTTTTTAAGGCCCTGTCCTTCAGGTTTTTTGTAGATTCTTTTAGTATTGCCAAAAATAAAGAAGACTTCATAACAGGGAGCATAATTGTCTCAATCAGAATATAGTCATGGCTCCATAACTATGTTTCGGTCAAGGTCGGACCACACTTCGGTAATATACCGACCATATAGCCCAGATGTGCAGTGGGCTATACCATCTAGGTTTGCACAAGGACACTCTGTAATGTTTGCACATCAAAATCTCTCAGTGTGTCCCCACCATTAAGCTGCGCATAACAGTAGAATGAAATGGCTCTCTGCTACTATTTTGATCAATTCTAGTGTATTAAAGCCCATGTTAAGAAATTGGCAACAGTGGTTGTCCTTAAGCAAAGACCCTGGATGACTGGGGTACAGGGATAGGAAGGAGACTTAATTTTCACTGTGTAGTCTTTGAGAATGTCTGAGTATGTAAGTATTATATAAACAAACCGAGGCCAATAACTTAAAGCAATAAGATATGACAGAGTAAAGGGTTACTTTCCTTACCATGTCCCAAAAAATGTTTTGAGCCACAGGGAAGAGCTAAGCATGTATAATTCCATGACACATGGTCGTTTTGTAACTGCCAGGTTGGTGTGAATGAACTATCTCCAATTTCTCAGGTAGATTATATAAACTGCTTGGATGATGGCCATGACCTGAGGTCAAAATGGTTCAGTTCCTCCCTGGGAAAGTGAGATCTTTCTCCTGTAGAATTCTAAAGAGGTAAATCATATGATCTTTTAGTTACAGGCTGGGAACATTAGTCATGCCTCCTGTGAGTTTTTCTATCATTTTTTTGTATTTAAAATATTTTTAAATGTTTCTTATCTGCATGTCCCACCTGCAGTCATTATGACTTCCTTCAAAACCTGTGATGAGAATATTTTCTTACAAGCCACAGGTACAAACAACCTACCCATGAAATCAATGCAATGTCTTCCCCTCCATCTTCCCCCCACCGGCCAGTTACCACCCAGCTATTACCAGCATGAGAGCCATTATGGAAAAACTAGGAAAAAACAAACAAACACAGTGCTTTTAGAAAATCTGAGTTCCTAAGAGGGGATACCCCGGAGGAAAAGGGACCAGTGTAGAGGCTGCACTTTAATATCACAGAGGCCCAAGAGTGTCCTTATAGGAGCACTGAGGAGTCCTGGTTTAAATCTGCTTTGTCCCTTAAAGCTGTGTCACCTTGGGCAGGTTATTTAACCTCTCCAGACCATTTCCTCACCTGAAACAAGTGGATATGATTAAACATGCTGTTGGCTGCGATAGTGTCTGACTATGGTGAACAGTGAATAATTTTTATCTTCTTTCCTTCCTCTGCCCTCAAATTTCTTCCCTCACACTACTTGAACTTTTTATTTCACTTTGTTAACACTGAAAAAAATGGCATGGAGATTCATCTGCAACAACCGACAGCCATTTAAAAATATATAAAATATTTAGGATGCTTAAAGTGCTTGTCAATTAAAATAATGTTTGTTTTCCCCCAAAAGCCAAAGGAAAGTGGATCAGGGTGAAGAGGTTTTGACTGAGACTAGTGAGCAATTTTGTTTGAGACTTTAGGGCACTCTGGCTAAGGTTTGGGCTGTCTGAGGTGGATGTCGTAGCTGGGATCTTTGGGATGGTTCAGCATTTATGACTGTGTTCTGGCCAGTCCCTTGCCCCCCTACCCCAAGGAAGGGACAAGCTTTTTCTCTATCCTTTATCCCACATTAGCAATTGACTTGAATAAATCAGCATTCCTGATTTGACCTGGAAACTTTGCCTTTTTTCATAGAAAAACATGTGAACCAAACCAAGGAAAGGTCTGGTTTTGGTGACCCAGGGTAAGGGGTTTTAAAGCTACAGCTTCAGAAAGAGAGGAAAGTGGGGGGAGAAAGGTGGGAGCTGATAGAGATCAGCCTGGCCTGTGCTGAGAGATGGTAGTAAGGGCAGTTACAAGAAAGCCTTGTGCTTTCCAAGTAGTGTGAGGCTCAAGAACATGTACTCAGGAGCCAGGCTGTCTGCATTCAAATCCTGGTTTGGCCATAACTAGCTGTGTGTTTGGGAGCAAGTTACTTAACCTTTCTGTTTCCAGTTTCCACATCTATAAAATGAGGATAATAGTGTCTCCCTTATGGAAGCATTCTGAGGATGAAATGAGTTACATGTAGAGCATTTAGAAAGTGGCTGAGGCTTGGAAAGCTCCAAGTAGCTGTTAGGACGTCTACAGGCAGGACTCTGACTGCAGATTAGCAAAGAAGTAAACCAGGGAAGACCCAGAAGAGAACATTAATGTTTCACCTTAGGCCCAACCAGTTGAGTAATGAGAACCCGTGACCTGCAACTGGCCTAATTTGTTCAGGGTCCATATCCCAAGAGCCCCTCCAACCACGGTAGAAATAGTTCATATGCTTAAATTGCATGCTCTTCGGATCCACAGCAGATGTGATGGCTGCACAGGACTGCAGGAAGGGGAATGGAATTCCGAGGGCATCTGAGTGAGAAATAGAGTAGAAAGCAACCCTGGCGATAATACAAAAAACAAACTACCTCCAAACCTTAATCTCTGCCAATGTAATCTGCACTAAAAGATTATATAGCGTAGAGGAGCTCACAAAGATGGAAAGTACTGTAATATGCCCAGGCACAGAGTAAGTACAGGACGCTCTATGTTTATTTGTAACCCCCCCCCCCACACGCACAAAAAAAGCTGCCAACAGTTTATGCTCATCAATTGCCTGTAACCATCAAAAGGAACATGGTAGGTGGATACGTAGTCACATGGAGAGATCTTAATACATTTGATAACTGAAAACAGCAGAACAGAGTGTATAATTCTCTTTCAATAGAAAGTGTTTGTGTATTTGTATGTGCTTATATGTAGTTAATTTCTTTTAAAGTAAGTGTATATTCCTAACTGCTAGCAGTGGGAAGGCGAGGAGTTGAGAGGCTGGGGAGAGCTCTCGTGTTTTACTCTTGATTAAGGTTGCCAGGTTTAGCAAATAAAAATACAGGATGCCCCATTCAATTAGAATTTCAGGTAAATAATGAATATTTTAAAGTGTAAGTGCGTGCCATGTGCAACAATAATATGGACATACTCTGTCCTCCCATGGCCTTGCAGGGTACCTCCAAAAGCAGCCCTACTTCGGAGCAGTGGTTGGCAGGGTGGCCAACCGAATTGCCAAAGGAACGTTCACAGTCGACGGGCGGGAATATAAGCTGCCCATTAACAACGGGCCCAACAGCCTGCACGGGGGAGTCAGAGGGTTTGATAAGGTGAGTTGTGGCACTGGGTAGGGTCCTCACCTGGCACACTTCACAGAGCACCTTCGAGTGTACCTTCTGTTTACCAGGCACAATCCTAGGCACCGGAGGAAACGCATGGAAAGGCGATTCAGGGAGAGGCTGCTCCCACGGTGCGGAGGAGCAGCCGCGCTAACGCTGTTCCAGGACCCATCCTTGTCTAGCTCATCCGACCATAACAGGCAGGGGAGCCCCGAGTGAAGGACAACGGCCCTTGACTTAGGAAAGACAGGGAATGACTTTGTGACAGTGTTGGGATCAGGGAGTCAGGTTGACCTTAAGCACAGCAGGAAAGTGGGTTGAAATAATGCCTAACCACTTACGACACGAGGCATTTTCATGTATTATCTCTCGCCCTTTCTAGAACCCTGTAGTATCACCAAATGAGAAATCTGAGTCTCCGAAAGGCCACACACTCCTAAGTCAGGCTGCCTGGCCAGAAGCCCTCATTCCTACCCAGCAGGGCCACCACCGTGGGTGCCCCAATCCAGCGCACATCCCTGTATCCATCATTAAGCCCTGCTGCATTCAGGCCTACCCTGCCTCAGAATCGCCTCATACACTCCACAGTCCCCCCTTTCCACGATAAAACTCCCATTCCCCAAGTGGATCCCTGGCTAAGCAAGGTTAGGAAAGCAAATCGATCAAACAGCTTCTCCCCGAGGCAGGAATGCCTGGCCGCCTGCTTCCTGGCTGGGTGGCATCTGCCACTTAACCCCCTGCCAGTGACTCTCTTACTAGTCTGATTTCAGGCTGTGAGGGAGATTGTTTTGGAAGTTAACTTCCTTTCGATTATAACCACCCATTATTTCCTAAGAAGAGCCAGAGAAGACAGGAACATGTGTGCAGTTAAGGATCCCAATTTCTTTTCTGCCTCTGACCACCTCCTGTCCTGTAGAAGGAAGTTGGTCAATCTCTGCTTCCCCCGACCCACCAGCTTCCCGTCTGTGGCCCAGAGCCAGGCTGCCCATCAGTTCCCTTCTCCTCAACGATGGGACTCCTCACGCCAGAGAGACACAGAGCCAGAGGGTCTCTGGCCTATGCCCAGTCTGCGGGCAAACCCCAACCAGCGGACGTTAGGCCCAGCTCTGTTTGGACCAGGATCGTCAGAGGAGCCTCAGAACAGCACCTTGTTCCTGTTCCTTCTGTTCAGCTGTGGCGTTGCCGAACATGCATGCCCTGTATGAACGTAGCAAATAGTGAGTGTACATGTGTACATGTCCCTGAATGCAATGTGCCCACCGAGCCCCTCCTGTGAACCAGGGCACATTATAGGGTGGGGGTTTCTGAGGCTCACAGTATAGCAACAGAGCAGGACCCTTCCATTAACAACTGTTATAAGCCCGTAATATAGACGCCAGTGGTGTGGTAGAGGAACTGGGCATGGACAAAGTCATAGCAACTGGGGAGGTGGGATTTGCACTGGCCTTGAAGAAGGGACAGCATTTCATTCACTATGTTGATATTGGGGAGAATGGCTGTGCAACAGCCCAGAGAGAAGTGGGGAAAGACTGGGCATGTTATTACGGCGCCATAGAAAGTCTTTGAACAGTAGGTGTGCTATAGTACCATGAGCAGTAGCAGATGAACTTTGTTTTAAGTTGTGTTTGATCTCAACAGTTACTGAATATTGTTCTTTTGCAGACATGTGTTTTCTTTTTATAGCAATGTGTTTTTTAAAGATGAAATTTGAATAACCTGACAGGATTAGAAATGGTATACTTAGGCCTAAAGGTGCAAACTAGGAAATTCTCTGGCATTTTGGAAACTACAGGGCCAGGGAAATCCTTCCAGGAGTAGGACTTTTACTTCCCACGGTATTATACTTATCTGATGATATTGGTTTACACACAAATCTTTCCATTGTGTCCTTTCTCTAAAGGAGAAAAGCTAAGTAGCAAGTTAAGATCATTTTATTTCAAATATTTCATTCCTAAAATTTTCCATTTGGGAGATTCTTTTTACTTTCTTTAATCGCATATATAACAGGCTTTATATGTTCAGTGTCTTGAAAGTTCAACATTTCTGGGAGGTAATTAGGGTGTAAAATTAATATTTTACTAAGGTCAGTGAATTTGTTTCAAATACCAGCTGCTTTCACAGTAGGTGAAGGCAGGGACCTCCGTTCCCGCTGGGCTCCCCTTCCTGGCAGATGCAACGTCACTGAGAGGTCCAGCCAGGAGTGGGTGGCTGAGCCTGGGCTCATAGGCCATTCCTCAGGCCAAAGGAGTTGTAATCTTTCAAGTCTATTTGGAATGACACTGTTTGGCCTCAATTCATGGAGATTTGAATGAAACATTTACTGAAACCAAGCTATGTTATAATGTCGATTATCAGACTGAATTTGAATCCTAACTCTGTCACTAATTATACTTCCCAAGGTATGATACTTGACTTATCTATGACTTGCTTTCCCCCCCCTCCTTTAAACAGTGGGCATGAAATATTAACAGTTTCTACTCCACTCCCCTGGGATGTGGGAGGTAGAAGTGAGCAAGTTACCTCCACTGAACTCAATTTGCTCATCTGTAAAATGGGGATAATAATATTAATTAGAACCATGTAAAAGCACCAGGCTGATGGGCACTCAACAAATTGGCAATCTCATGTCTGCAAAAGGCCCCTTTACCCCAGGGCTCCCCAAAGGGCCTGGGGTCTCTGGTCACCTCGTCCTCTGAGAGTGCGAAATAAGGGAACAGGATCAGACCACTTGTTTCAAATGCACGTCTTACTAGCTGTGTGGCCTGGAACAAGCAGGTTATCTTTTCTGAGCCTCAGCTCTGTCATCCCCAAATGAAGATAATAGTACCTACCTTAAGTCAGCTCTGAGACAGATAATATAGTGTCTGTGAAGTTTCTAGCAAAGTGCCTTGGCTCACAGTGGGCACTCAATAAATGTTGGTTTTCCCTTCCCCATAAGGGTCATCTTGGAGCCTTGAAGGCAAAGTCAAGAGGAATCACTGTGTTAATCGAAGATTCCTATTTATATTTTCAAAAGCAAAAAACTTAAAAACTTTTATTTGCCTGGCCGGCGTGGCTCAGCGGTTGAGCATTGACCTGTGATCCAGGAGATCCTGGTTCGATTCCCAGTCAGGGCTCATGCCCGGGTTGCGGGCTCGATCCCCAATGGGGGGTGTGCAGGAGGCAGCGGATCAATGACTCTCTCATCATTGATGTTTCTCTCTCTCTTCCTTTTCCTTCCTCTTTCTGAAATCAATAAAAACATATTTTAAAAAATAAAAATTTTTCTTTCCACTCTTAGAATACTATTTTCCAGAGTGAGAAGAAAACCTTGGCGATCATTTTCTCAGCCCCTTTATTTTATGAATAGAATTGATGTCCAAAGTCACACAGTGAGCTGAGAACAAACTTGGCCCCCAAATCAAGACTCCTGACTATGGGCTAGAATCTTCCTAATGGAGCAAGTGCCTCATTTGTTTGGAACAGCAGGGAACATAGAGAAACTCATGGTGCTTTTAAATAAACATTTGTAAATAGTACCCCCAGGAGAGAGGAGCTGATTTATTAAGGTTATTTTTAATACTATTAGCAGATAGCGTGGCCGGGCGTGGCTCAGTGGTTGAGCGTCGACCTAGGATCCAGGCGATCAGGGTTCGATTCCCGGTCAGGGCACATGCCCGGGTTGCGGGCTCGATCCCCAGTCAGGGGCGTGCAGTGGGCAAACAATCAATGACTCTCTCATCACTGATGTTTCTATCTCTCTCTCTCCCTCTCCTTTCCTCCCTCTGAAATCAATAAATATATATATTTTTAAAAATTCTATTAGCAGATAGCAGATATTGCTATATGACACTCAGAATGTGGTGCTGAGGTTTCAAAATAGTCATAAAGTAGGAGAAAAAAATATTGTAGACACGTATAAATTTAGGGGGAAAAGAGTACGGGAAATGTGAGTAAAGAGAAAAAAATTTTTTATCTCAAATTCTGTATAAAACAGAATTTTAGAATATTAAAATCTAGGCTATTATTTTAAACTTTATAAATTGTATCATAATTTCCCTTCCTGGAATCAGTTGTCTTTAATATTGAAATAATACTATGTCTTTAATATTGGCATTTAGCTTGGGATTGGAGTGACTAAACAGCTTTGAAAAAATTCGTTCTAGGTCCTCTGGACCCCTCAGGTGCTGTCAAATGGCGTCCAGTTCTCCCGGGTCAGTCCAGATGGCGAGGAAGGTTACCCTGGGGAGTTAAAAGTCTGGGTAACATACACGCTGGACGGTGGGGAGCTCGTGGTCAACTATCGAGCACAGGCCAGTCAGACCACACCAGTCAATCTGACCAACCATTCTTATTTCAACCTGGCAGGCCAGGTAAGTGGCCTTGCCTCTTCTCTCCTGTGATGTGCTTTGT